ACCAAATATGCCCTTTTTTAGAAACGTTCAGACTCTGTTTCTGTCTTATATGTTTGTCTGCACGTTTCAATCAATTGTGCACCTTTTAAAAAGAGCCGAGGCTCAGGACTTTTGCACAGTAGTGTACTTTAAAAAGTACTTTCACATGTTCCAGGTGTTGCTCATCATCTGGAACAACAGCATTTCAATCTTTGAGCTTTCCTTTCTCGTCAGTAACGCTGCGAATCAAAACGCCGGGAATAAGATTGGACTAAAATAATAAAGAAAAGTCATCTGTGTGAGGAAGCTCTGACTCTGCAGCTGCGGGCGTGTTTAACCTGAGCCTAAAAAACGACCTGCCTGCGCTCACCTGAGTAAATCAGCTGATCGGCTGATCCGGTGACTCCCGGTACTCACAACATGACAACTTTTCCCAGCTCACTGCCACACCTGAAAACGTAAAAGCCGCTCACCTGGCTCCCTGTCCACACTGCTCGAGTCCCCGTACACCGAGTCCGACATCCTCCTGCCGCCCGGGGCCCCTCCGCGCTCCGAGCCGGTCCTGGAGCCATATTCCCCGGAGGCTCCGTCCAGGCTGCCGGACAGCAGGCTGTCCGTCTCCATCCGGCTCAGATCAGAGTGTCGGAGTCCGTCCAAACTCCAGAACAACAACAAGAAGGCGCTCAAACAGAAAGCAGCGCAGCGTGCGGGAGGAAGTCCTCCTCCTCCTCCTCCTCCTGCGCCAGTCAAGCTCCACCCACAGCACAGAGTCACGTGCTCAGAGCTGCCGGAGCAGGAAGCCAGCAACGAAAGTCAGGTTCGCTTTACCGCGTGGAGGTCATTAATCCACACAGATGAACTCACCTGGAGAAAAGGGGCGCGAGCGTCAGTTACGTCACATGGAGACACGAAAACACTGTAAATAGTGATGGCGACAACAGGGAAAACTGGGAAAACTGGCGTTTCTGTTAAATGTGGGTCAAATCAAACGGATGAACTGGTTGGAGTCTGCACCTCTGAGATTATTAATCTGATCCAGCTACATCAGCCACACCAGGGGTGTGAAAAATAAGGCCCAGGGGCCAAAATCAGCTCGAGTCCAGCCCGGCCCACGGACAGCTTCAGGAAATATGAAGGAGGGCCGAAAAGTTTGGACCTTTAAATGTACTTTAAAAGGTTATTAAGCTTTTCTTGCTGCCACAGACTCACATTACTAGTGAAGTACTACATAAACAGTTAATTCCACACAAAAGGACATTTTCTGTTTTCTACCATCGCAGCTCTGACCACACGTTTGTTGGATTTCTTATTTCGTCCCAAAGAGTCGTGCTGTCAGATTTCTTCATCGTGTATCTGAGACGTGTTCGGACATCTCGGGGATTAAACGTGTGTTTAAACGTCGGTACCAGAGTGTGCTGTATGTGGCCCAACGTGTAAAATCAGTTTGACATCTTTGGCCTAACACAGAATCCTGATATCAGTAATCTTCACTTTGTATTCAGCATATTTATTTTGCCCTACTGAGATGAAAAACAAGATTATTTTTAGATAACCAAAGGAGCTTGCAAAGAAAAGCGTCTGGACTTCTTTAAGTTGCTTGAAGACGTTTCACCTTCATCCGAGAAGCTTCTTCAGTTCTAAGGTCAAATGGTGGAGAGTCCCAGATAGAAACCTAGTGGGAGTTTCCCCCCACAGAGGGACAAAAGGACCCCTGATGATCCTCTAATCACCTGAGCCAAGGTGTGAAACTGGGTGTGGGTCCCAGTCAGCCAGAGTTTCGGGTGAGCTCATTGTGAAACCTGGCCCCACCTTATCATGTGATTTCCTGAGGTCAGCTGGCCCAGGATGTGAGTGGGCGTTAAGGCGTCTGGGAAGGATCTCAGAACTGGATTATAGATGGCCGAGAGTTGGTGTCGTAAACCCCGCCTCTGTTCAAAGATGGTCGCTCACAGTGGACATAGATGCTTCTTTCACTCCTCTTTCCAACCATCTGTCCTCTCTGTCCAAAATGTGAACATTGGCATCCTCGAAAGAGTGACCTTTGACCTTTAGATGCAGATGGACTGCTGAGTCTTGTCCTGTCCTCTTTCATAACCTAAGTGCATGAAAGAAACCTGTCACATTATTTATTTTCCCCCAAAGGTGATTAACTGATTTCATCATCGGCTCCTTGTAGTGGGCCTCGGCTCTCTTTCACCGCTCTGGGTAGAAATCTTTAGATTTAATCTCCGTGCAAAGTTTACACACAGATTTTTAATCACCATTACATCATCATCAGATAGCGTCTCTGATGGTAGAAGAGTCACATGACCCACACAAAGAAGCCAAGAACAGGTTTAACAGGAAGTTGATAACTTCTTACGCTGGGCTCTTAGGCTTGGATGTTCCAGTGCAGACCGAGGAAGCCTGGCTTTGTTCAGCTTCATCTGCAGTACACCCCTCAGTAGTTTCAAGGCTTCTTTAACACAGTGTGATATTCATTTAGTAAATTATGGACACATTGAGATACATTTTTAGGACACGGCCAGTTGTGTCTCTGATCTGTGGTCATTCAGTTCAGCCACGCCCGTTTTAAGACGTTAAAACAGGACTTTGCCTTGCTTCCATCTTTTATGTACAGTCCATGATGGAGACTTCTTTGCTGCACCGTAGCAGGGTTCAAAAGACAGATTAACAGATTAACAGCATGTCATGAAAGCGCCACAGTCCAATGAGCGTGAGAGTTTAAGCAGAACAGAAAGGTCACGTCATGATGAAACGACCTCCGGATGTCGGGTTCCTCCTCAGAAACCGAACGCAGAGCTCTTGGAGTTTCTCCACGAGCTGTTCTTTAATCTTTAAATGCTTCATGTTTTTGTAAGGCAGAGCTCAGAAGAGGACGTGCCGGGTTTCAGAAGCCTGAGTCAGGAAAATGACAACACCTGAGTTTATGATGGGTAACAAATATCATGTAAGCTCGAGCTCTGAGCTGTGGGAATGGATGCGAGCCGCCTCTCTGCAGTCCTCCAAGCATCAGTGTGGTTTTAGTAAAAAAGGGATTTTTTTGTTTTTCAAATAGACGTCATCAGTACATGTAGAAACGAGCAGCATCGTGTATTTGAAGCAGTTATTGGGAATTATTCCATCAGGGTGAAACGAAGGAACCTGCAGTGCTAATAATGTCGCCTTCGTTAAAACCACGTTAACGGCAGTGAAACGGTCACTCGTGTATTAAAGTCAAAGTCAACTTTATTTGTCAATTCTGCCACATGTACAGGACATACAGAGAATAGAAATTTCGTTACTCTCAAACCCTAGATGAAATAGCAAATGAACATTTAAATATAAGAGAGTGATTAAAAAATGCAAATAAAATAATTAAAAAGTAAAAATTTAAATAAATACAATACAAATTAACAAGAAAGCTATGCAATATACAATATACAATATTCAGGTAAGGGTAAATGACATTGAGTGTAAACCAGGCAGAGTAGTGCAAATAGGCAAATAGTGCAAATGGAGATTTAGTAATGTACGGTAAGAGATAGTGTAACAACAAAGTCTTATGAGGTAATGGCAGTCCAATGCTCCACAAAGTGACTGGTAACTGGTGCAGGCCAGTGAGTGAGTCAGAGAGTGTGTGTGTGTGAGTGTGTGTGACAGAGTTCAGTGAGACCGTGGAGGAGAGAGGGGAGAGGGGGCAGAATCGGGAGGGAGTTAAGCTTCCTGACAGCCTGATGGATGAAGCTGTCCTTCAGCCTGCTGGTCCTGGCCTGGAGACTCCGCAGTCTCCTCCCCGACGGCAGCAGCTTGAAGAAGCTTTGCATTGGGTGCGTGGGATCAGCCGCTATGCAAAGGGCTTTTTTAGTGAGACGGGTGCTGTAAATGTCCTGGAGGGAGGGGAGAGAGACACCAATGATCCTCTCTGCAGCTCTCACTATGCGTTGGAGGGTTCTATGACAGGACGCATTGCAGGCTCCAAACCACACAGTGATGCAGCTCGACAGGATGCTCTCGATGGTGCCTCTGTAGAAAGTGTACATGATGGGGGCTGGTGCTCCTGCTCTTCTTAGTTTGCGGAGAAAGAAGAGACGCTGCTGTGATTTCTTGGCCAGTGCTGTGGTGTTGTACGTCCAGGAGAGATCCTCTGTGATGTGCACACCCAAGAACTTGGTGCTGCTCACTCTCTCCACAGACGCTCCGTCAATGGTCAGAGGAGCATGTTGGGGAGCTCTAGCTAAAGAAGCTCTCTGCATGCAGACAAACCTGTGAGAGCAAAAGGAACCGAGTCTGAGCTGCTCGCCACGTGAAGCCTTCATGCACGCTTGATCACCCAGGTACGGAAAGTTCCTGGGATCTTAATGTTGGTGGTGTTGAACGCCCCCTGCCTCGCTCACAGTCACGTATGACGTAAACCCTGGATCGCCCTGGCTACGGTCAGTTTGACAGAACAAACATGGCAGCCAGATATTTCTCACACACGTGAGGATTAACACAGGACCATCCCCACCTGACCTCTTCATAAACACTTTGACTTATTGTCACGTGACTTTAGCTAAACGGTGAAAGACTGACTCGAGTTAAAGGCGCTACTTTGTTTTTTTAGTAAGTGTAATTTTGAAATGACTAAGATTGTGTAGCTTTAAATACCAAAACCACGACGGTTTACTCTGACCTATGAAATACCTCGTCCCCTCAGACATGCCACGCTGTCCTCTAATGTCCCACAACCACCTGCATCTGATCCATGTCACGCCACAGATATGAACAGCTATGCTGAAGAATAAGCTGAGACGAGAAGCTCGCCGTGGTTTGTGCGCTTCTTCAGCAACCTGCTGGCACGACGACTGCGACACCCAGGCTGGTTCGGTCTGCAGACATCATTTCCTCCTTCATAACAACTGCATGTTTCTATAACTCACCTGTTTAAATTGTATTAAGGCTTAAAGTTTGCATGAATAGGGGTGTGGCCTCTTTGACCGACAGGTCTAACCCTAACCTGTACGCAGTGTTCTGACTGCGGCACATACAGGACAAAAAAACACAATCAAGAGATCTTTTATTTCACACGCGGACACTTGAGATGATCCTGTATCTTTAAATTTTACACAGAACAAGATCAAAACAAACCGGACGGAGGACAGAATCAGAAATAATCAGGGGCGATGCAAAGCTGCACAATAACACAAAGAGAGAAAAACAAGCAGAAGAATTGTGTCTGGATCATAGACTGTAGATAAACGATGGACCCAGGATGCCCCCCTGCTCCTTTCTGACTCTAAGGGGACCATCATCTCCAGAATGTTTGATTCAATCACACCTGAGACCATTAAAGAGGAAGCGCCCCCTGCTGGGGGCCAGACAGAATGCAGGTTTAAGGCGTTTGATTTCAGTCTGTGTAAATGATTGTTTGAAGGGACCACAGTTGCTATTAATGTCACTGAGGTCAGGAAAGCACCAAAGCATCGTCCGTGGTCTTCGGCTTTGATCAAGCGGGACGTCTTCGTGGTCATCGGAGTCACGAAGGGCCGATGACCTCTGCTTCTTAGCGCTTCGCCGTGTTTGCAGCCATCTGGGTCACCTGGAAGAACAGAAACACCTGCTCACAGCTCGTCTTCATCGACGCGCCGCTCCTCTGATCATCTTTTCTCGCTCTGACCGGGAGAGAAACGCGATGATGCTCACCTGGTCGTCGATGCACCTGAACTGCCAGCTCCAGCTTGCGTTGTAGAGGAAAGGCCTGAGGTCGAAGCGGTTGTCGTCAGGACTGTAGCTCTCGGCGTGGTAGGACGGCGTGACCGTGGTCATCTTGTGGCGGTTCACCGAGTACATCCTGAAGAAGCGCTTGACCTTCTGGGCCACCTGAAGGAAAACCACGAGCTTGCTTCAGGTTAGGCTGATGGGGACACGACCTTCATACCTGTGACCACTCAGACTGACCTCTGAGGGCGAGAGGGCGTCCTTCCACGTGTGAATGAGTTTACAGAACATACTGAAGGGGCCGCACTTGGAGATCTTCCTCAGTCGTCCGATCACAGACAACTCAGAGTAGGTCATCCCCATGTCGGCCTGCGGGTGGAGCACAAACAGCGCTAACGGTCTTTAATAGCAGTCATGACGTGATGCTAGCAGAACGCTTCACGCTGACAACTTTGGACTTTATAAAGACGCCTGCAGTCAGCAGCGAGCTGCAGTTAGCTTCCTGTCGCCTGTGTACAGACAGGCTTCAGCCCGCCGGGGGGCCTGATGGTTGCAGGGGCCCCTCCTCTACGTCATACTGCACACTCATATTCACAGTGTTACAGTAAAGCGGACTCTTAAGTGGTTAAATCGTGGACTGAACTTTAGCTGCACTCAGTCATTTTACTCTCACTATGAGCAGAGGGGCATGCTGGGAGATATACAATATAATATATTTTAGGGCTGCCACAAAGGATTATTCTGATAGTCGACTAATCAGATCATCATCCACTGGACGTAAAACGTACAGCTTATTGCACCAGCAGCATCTGCTCTTATATAACTATCATTAGCTTACAGCTTTAAGTGTTTAAGGTGCTAACTAAAAATAAAGACAAGATGATAGTTTATTAAATTTTAATGAAATTTGCAGATTGTTTCGGTGAAGTTTAATAAACTCCTTGCTATCTAAAATATAACAGGACACCGGAGTATATTCTCCAGCATCTCACACTTCTGATAATCAGCTGTCTGCTTGACGTTTATTCAGCTGTGTAAAAACTATAACTTTAATCTCAGCCAAACCGATTTACTCAGGAACAAATAAAATACTAAAAAAGCCAAACAATAACATTTTTAAGTTATCTAAGTGACTCATATATCATGTTTAACCTGAGTAGCGAAAGACGGCGGTGGGTTTGAAAACGATTTGCCGGGAGTCCGGTGTTCTCACGGCTCTAGTGACCTAGCCCCCGGCTAGCTATCGAGCTAGTGGGTAACAGACGTCTCCGAAAACGTCGGAGCGCTTTTGAAAATATGCGGTGTCCTGATAAACTGAGCAGATATTTGAGGTTTACACAGCTACATTCTCGCCTGAAAATATGTTAAACGTTTATTTTGTGACCCAGAAAGAATAATAAGAGTAATATTAAAACTAACTAGCTGCCGCCATTGTTGGAAACTGAGCTGGGCCGCGCTATGAATTCTGGGACACAGCTGCTTCTTCTTCTTCGGGGTTTAACGGCAGCTGGCATCCTTGTACATGCAGTGCTGCCATCTTCTGTTTCAGTCCGTTATTACACTCTTAAATCCTGCTACTTATTCCTGCGTCTTTTGATCTTACAAAGCTTCAAACGACGCGTCGACTATTAAATCAGTCGTCGACGATTTTGATAGTCGACTAATCGCGGCAGCTCTAATATAAACAGCAGGACGAAGACGCTGCAGGGCTTTGGAATTGTGCTGAGCAGCAGAGTTGGTGGGTTGAGGTTTGTGTGCAGGAGCATCGCGGCAACAATCATGTCTGTCATACAAACTCATTTCATTCTGAAGTCTCAGAGTGATGAAGGCCCGTTCCCATCTGCGTCTCACCTCATCGGTCTGAGAAACTCGCCCGTCTGTCAGCGGCTCGAGCTCGGCGGTGGGCGGAGCTGCCAGGATGCTGCAGAGGAAACCAAAACCACTGACAAACTGAAAAACCACACGAGATGCTGCGTCTCTGAGAAATAACTCCAGTGTGAAAGCACACCGCAGCTGCAGCCGGGGGGGGCTGCAGAGGCGCAGACCCCCGTGGCCTTACCTTCTCAGAGCAGTGAGCTGCAGCCGCTCGGCGCAGTGCAGCAGGAAGCGCTTCAGGTCCGTCTTACTGATGCCTCCGATCGGGTTGATGTCGGCGCTCGAGCAGTCGTATTTGGTGAAATAACCTGTGAGGCTGAGCAGGACGACGCCCTGTTATTCTATATGCTGCGTGAGCTGCACTAACAGTGAAAACGGCGAACACGGCGGCGGGTACCTCTCGTCCACATTAGCAGAGCCGAGCACCAGCAAGCCCCCGGGTCTGCCCCGAGCCCACAGGCTGAGCTGGGCAAACAGGTAAGCCAGGACCATCCTGACCCGAGCCTGGGAACACACACAGGAAGTGAACACTGTGACAAAGTTCAGCCGGGTCGCGATGGCGTTACGTGAACGCCGCGGTTAAACCGTCAGAGGCGCTGCACGCCACAAACATCTGCAGCTTCTGACCTGCACGTTCTGCAGAGCCAGGTTTTCTCTCGCACTTCCCCCGCTCGCACGAAACTGAGGCCACCGTCCGGTAACCGCCGAGAAGATACCCAGAATGCCTTTCACCGCCACGTCTATGTTGATGTTCATGTGCGTGCTGCAGGAGACAGAACGAGTCAGAACTGTTCCTGTGAGCCTCTCAGTGTCGTGGTCTTCACCATGGATCTACCCGCTTCCTACCTGCCGATCTGATTGGCCAGGTCTCTGGCCCTGTTGCGCGTGTCCTCGGAGGAGTTTTCGCTCGCCATGTAGCAGGTGGTGAAGACGCGAGCGCACAGCTCCTTCGGGTCCTGCGGATGATACGACTCGTCGCCGACCACCCTGCGGACGTCTTCCAGCACCCGACTGTCTGTGAGGAAGACAGACCAGCAGGCAGGAAGTTACATCATTCGGCTCATCCTGGGAGCTGCTCCTCCACACAAATGCTTCCTGTTTATCTCCTGAAACCCTCAGATTTGTCTTTACTCTGAACGCTCGGCTCGAAATGCTCCGACTGAAGATCTGCGCAGGTTAATATTGACCAATACAACAGAACATATAAACAGCATCTCTGGAGGGTACTCACTGCCGCCCTCGACAGCCCGGCACAGCTGCACGCACATGCAGTGGACGATGCAGGCGGTGGAGGAGCTGTCGACGCCGCCGCTCAGAGGCAGCAGGAAACCAGCCTGAACACAAACGAGCAGACAGCTCAGAGGCCCAAACCACACACTTCTCAATGTAGCCAAAGATGACCTCACACCTGTCCTCCTCACCTGGCCGCTCCTCCTCAGGTAGTCCCACAGCCAGCAGGCCGGCCCTAAACTGAAGCACGCGGCAGCAAACAGCTGTAAGAGAGGCTCTCTGGGAGCTTTACAGAAGCTTCATTTAAACGTACCTGATCTCTTCCTCTGGTGTGTGAAAGTGCCATTCTATTGGCTGGTGGGTGGGCAGGTAGACGTCGTCACAGCCGGACAAAGAAAAGTCCACTTTGACCCTGTGACAAGGCTTGAAGTCACTTTCCTTCCACAGGGAGAAACACGAGAGATGAACACCGTCAGCACCTGACATTCATCCAGCACCGCCACTCACAGGTGACCTCTGCATGACCTTTAACACGAGCTCTGCTGTGGGGGGGCGACCTGTCATAGGTCGTCTGCCTGTATTGTTGGTCTTGGCCTCACAGTATAAAGCATCAGCCTGTTAGCAGGTTAATGCGCTGATTGGTTTGGATTGAAGGTCGACCACGAGGCTGAAGGCTCGTGGTCGAGCGTTCGTGGCTCTGTGACTCTGAAACACCTACAGGGACTCGAACACTATCAAGGTTTTACATTTTTAAATCAAGCAAATCTTATTGCTTCCCATCCTCAGAGCTCTGCAGCGCTCACTGAGGATGGGTCAAAGGTCAAAGCAGCTGCGGGAGGAGCTGAGAACCTGTGATGATGTGGAGGTCAGGCTGGTCAACTATGGTCACTGCTGGTCACAGGTCATCACAGAAACTGAGCTGATAACAGAGAAAAACACAAA